GTAGGGCTGCACGATTAATCGAAATTAAATCGCTAAGGCGATAAATCGCGATTAGGCAGAAGAAATCCTTATTGCGGTTGCTGAATAAACAGAAGATTTAACTGCTTTCATTAATTCAACGTGACTAATAAACACACGACTAAGACAATATATGGTTTATCTGAGTTTGTCTTATCATTTTTATTATAATAAAGTATATAATAATGCAATGCTAATCAACATAGCCTTTATCACTTCTTAGAATACTATGAAATATGTTGCGTGCCTTATACGGTGTAAGAATCCATATCTCACAGAAGGATTTATTTCAAACACTCGATTTGTTTTATCGATTTATGACAATTTTTATGCCAATTCCGACGATATCTCATTTGTCATTTTCCATCAATGTGCCTGTCCGCCATATTGAAGTAAATGAAAAATAGTTTTTTTGCTACTCCTCCTACAGACTTTGTCCAATTTTGTCCAAAATTGGCGCAGATGATTTTTGGACCGAGCTGCACAGAAATGACTAAACAGATTTTTGATATTCTGTTCCCGAGAAATACCTCTCTGAAGTTGACCATGCCAGAGTTTGTTGTGTTATGCTAATTTGTTTTCCATGCTAATTGTTTAGCATGCTAACCAGTTGCCATTCTTTCAAATGTGTCTCTTCAGCTATCAGATACAGAGTATATTGATACAGAGCTAATCATATTTTCTATCCCCTAACCCAACCCCTAAATATAACCCTCACAGAAAACATCTTGGCATTTTTATAAAAACAAACAAACAAACCTGTACAAATTTACACACCTCGCTGCAGTTCCTATTTCCTTGAACTCATTTATCCTCAACCAGTTTGTCTGTCCCTGAAAGACAAAAGACGACAGCAATTAGAGAAGAGTACGAGTATCTTCCTTAGAACAAACACGCACACACTGGACATTTTGGTTTTGGTTGTTGTCATGATTATGTGCACTTTTACCAGAAAGGTTTGACAAGAGAAAGTGAAGTGGATTCCCTGAACTCAGTACACTGCAGCGCTGGCTGAGACAGTCTCGAACATCTGGACTATTCGTTCAACAACAGATGAGTGGATTAGGGAATCTAAAATCCTTACCAGTGGTGCTTTTAAAGCGAGATACTTTTGATAGACGAAGTCAGCAATGACGTTTGGTCTCTAAATCCATCTCATTTAGAACAGCACCGCTACAGCAATCAGAACAGTGCTTGTGAACAATTTCATCATCTTCAACAAAACATTTTGCTGTGGGACTTCAAATGGCCTGTGGTTAGCAATGCTCCCATTATTATGCAGGATTCACAAGGTTATTCGTGAGGTGTTGTGTTAAGAAAGGACAGTGCCTTGATGTTTGTCAGAACGCTTCAAAAACGCTCAAAATGTTGGATGACGTGAAACCGATGTTGTGCACCCATGATATTTCCAATCTAAGAATTCAGACTGACTTCTTACTCGGATAACTGACTAGTCCGTAATGATAATTTGAAGTTTTGCACATCCCAAATCTTTATTTATTCTCACATGTGAAGACTGACTAACTAATCAACCAACTGGTATGACATGCTAGAAACAATGACAACACACTTCTTATGCTTTAGCCTTCCTTCTCTCTTTTACCCATTCATGCACATGTGTACGCAGATGAAAATTGTCTTAGGTTTACAGCAAAGGCAAAAACCAAGTCACAGCTGTAGGACAACATCAAACATCCAAAAATAGACAAATATGAATCCTGGTATTGAATTAACATCTTGATGTAATCCACAAATACTACTTGTGATTTAAAGGAATAGTAAGGTTAGCTGGACCTCCAACTTTCTTAAATCCTCAGAGGTTTAAATAACTGTTAGGCCAGTCACCATGTGTTTTAGACCCTTTTTACCCAGTGAAATACTGCTGTGGAGTAAAATATCACTGATAAATCCATGTCTGATGATGATCGGTGTATACAGACCGGAGAATCATTTTCCTTGACAGTATTGACAAATTGAATGAAGCTGCTCTTTATTGCACATGCAGATTGTGAACGACTCTACAATTCTTCTGATTAGACCAAATCCTGTCGATTTTCTCTGAAGTTCAATATTTTCTGAAGAACATATTTTTATTAGGAATTTTTTTCAAGAATTGCACTTAGGAAAATTCTTATGAACCTCTTAGAATTTCTCTTAAACTTTTTAACTTCCTAAGAATATTTTTAGTTAAATTTGAGTACTGTTTAGAGGGCATCATGTCATTTAGTAGCATTCAGTGTGTGTGTGTGCGTGTGTGTATGTGTGTGGAGAGCACAGCAAAGGAGAGACGGAGTGCGGCAGGATTTTCACATCAGTGAACAGTGAAAGTGAGACGTGGCGAAAGTACTAAGAGATAAAAGCAAAGGCGGAAAGACATTAACAGTTCAATGTTGAAGTGCAGGGCGAAATTAATGAGAAAGGGACTGACATGAAAATAAAAATGGTGGGACTCCCGAAATAGGCCTTTAGCTTTAGGAGGGGGCTCAGCCCCTTATCTGAATATGAGATGTTGAGGTTTTAACATGTTACACTGCAGCACACTGCTGTCAAGTGAACTACATGACATACGTTTCCTTATTAGAAGCTACTCACAAGCCATAGTGCACAGGATATGGTTTGGGTTGATGTGATCTCTCATGAAAAAAAAAAAAGAAAAGAAAAAAATGACCCAATGAAGAATTGAGAAAGCCAAAAAAGTAAATGAAAAAAAGAAGTGTAACAGACATGGTCTGCTTACCACATTTCCTTTTGTCTGAACCTGAGCTGAGCTGAAACCGACAGACACAAACACACTGTAACAGTAGAAATCTACATAAAACCCCAAGTGCAGGTCGATACAACTGGGCCAGGACACGGAAAATTAAGCGAATAGACAGAAATAGAGAGAACGTACAAAATAGAGGGAAAGACACACAGAGAAGCATGGGAGTAATACGGCACATCAGTTACATTATTCATTAGACTTGCAAGACCCATCAAACCGGGTGACTTCCCACAGCTCTTTTAGGTCATTATGCAAGTTACTCTCACACACTAAAAACACACAAGCAACAACAAACACACACACACACCTCATTCCCTAGAAACATCTGCAGTGGCTTCAGACAAATTAATATCATGTGTAGAAGTAGTACAACACTCATCCTGAACCTGCACTGGAGTTTAGCATGAAAAATCAATTTTGCTAAATTTCATAAGCGAAGATTTCATTCGAGAAGTTTCATTTCACACAGCTTTGAAATAGGTGTCAGACTAAACACAACATCACTGGAATACAGGCTTTTACTTGCACTTTAAAGCAAATAAATACAAATTTCAAAGAAGGGCATGTCAGTGTATGTTTGCACAATAAAGCAAACATTTCATTTTGCAAAGCTCTATTCAAATATGCTGCTGAAAAAAAAAATTTAGAGCTGTGGTCAATGTTGTTGTTTCGTTAGCATTCAACGGCATAATAGACAGCAACAGGTCAATTATGCCTAAAGTACAAATAGCAGAGATGCCCGTTTACTATGCATTCACCAAAACAAACATTATTTCAGGAAGCAAGTTTTTTTGGGGGGTCAGGTTTAATAAAATTGTATATAACTATGCCTGAACTAAATATTAATCTAGTTATTAAGTGGTGTTAAAATGTATAGTTAATAAATGTTCTCATTCCCTAGAAACATCTGCAGTGGCTTCAGACAAATTAATATCATGTGTAGAAGTAGTACAACACTCATCCTGAACCTGCACTGGAGTTTAGCATGAAAAATCAATTTTGCTAAATTTCATAAGCGAAGATTTCATTCGAGAAGTTTCATTTCACACAGCTTTGAAATAGGTGTCAGACTAAACACAACATCACTGGAATACAGGCTTTTACTTGCACTTTAAAGCAAATAAATACAAATTTCAAAGAAGGGCATGTCAGTGTATGTTTGCACAATAAAGCAAACATTTCATTTTGCAAAGCTCTATTCAAATATGCTGCTGAAAAAAAAAATTTAGAGCTGTGGTCAATGTTGTTGTTTCGTTAGCATTCAACGGCATAATAGACAGCAACAGGTCAATTATGCCTAAAGTACAAATAGCAGAGATGCCCGTTTACTATGCATTCACCAAAACAAACATTATTTCAGGAAGCAAGTTTTTTTGGGGGGTCAGGTTTAATAAAATTGTATATAACTATGCCTGAACTAAATATTAATCTAGTTATTAAGTGGTGTTAAAATGTATAGTTAATAAATGTTTGTGTTAAATGACTAGGCTATAACTTTTTTTCCCTTCAAAAATCACATAAACCTTTCAATTTAATGGAGATAACAGTATTTGTTTTGATTTTAGCCAAACAACCAAACTATCCATGATTGGATCTAATCAAACAAAATAAGTGGTTTCAGCCACATAATTAACATTTGACTACCCATATTAGGGCTGCACGATAAATCGCATGCGATATTTAACGCGCATCTTGTCAGAAAGCCGGTTCTGTAATCAGCGGTAAATCTCCATCACCTGCGTGCTTTCACATTGAGCAGCATTAACTACACAGAGCCGTTGTTCTCTGACGAGCTGCGCAAAAAATCGCACGAATATGAACGTGGTTTTGATTACATCAACAAATCATTTAATATTCAGTAGGCCTACCATGGACTGTGCTGATGAGCAACAGTGTGAACTACGCTAAACAGTGTAGGTTAGCCAATCAATTATTTTATATATTTTCCAGGGCTGGCGATAAACAATATCATATAAAACAAAATATACAGTGGGTACGGAAAGTATTCAGACCCCCTTATATTTTTCACTCTTTGTTATATTGCAGCCATTTGCTAAAATCATTTAAGTTAATTTTTTTTCCTCATTAATGTACACATAGCACCCCATATTGACAGAAAAACACAGAATTGTTGACATTTTTGCAGATTTATTAAAAATGAAAAACTGAAATATCACATGGTCCTAAGTATTCGGACCCTTTGCTGTGACACTCATATATTTAACTCAGGTGCTGTCCATTTGTTCTGATCATCCTTGAGATGGTTCTACACCTTCATTTGAGTCCAGCTGTGTTTGATTATACTGATTGGACTTGATTAGGAAAGCCACACACCTGTCTATATAAGACCTTACAGCTCACAGTGCATGTCAGAGCAAATGAGAATCATGAGGTCAAAGGAATTGCCTGAAGAGCTCAGAGACAGAATTGTGGCAAGGCACAGATCTGGCCAAGGTTACAAAAAACTTTCTGCTGCACTTAAGGTTCCTAAGAGCACGGTGGCCTCCATAATCCTTAAATGGAAGACGTTTGGGATGACCAGAACCCTTCCTAGAGCTGGCTGTCCGGCCAAACTGAGCTATCGGGGGAGAAGAGCCTTGGTGAGAGAGGTAAAGAAGAACCCAAAGATCACTGTGGCTGAGCTCCAGAGATGCAGTCGGGAGATGGGAGAAAGTTGTAGAAAGTCAACCATCACTGCAGCCCTCCACCAGTCGGGGCTTTATGGCAGAGTGGCCCGACGGAAGCCTCTCCTCAGTGGAAGACACATGAAAGCCCGCATGGAGTTTGCTAAAAAACATCTGAAGGACTCCAAGATGGTGAGAAATAAGATTCTCTGGTCTGATGAGACCAAGATAGAACTTTTTGGCCTTAATTCTAAGCGGTATGTGTGGAGAAAACCAGGCACTGCTCATCACCTGTCCAATACAGTCCCAACAGTGAAGCATGGTGGTGGCAGCATCATGCTGTGGGGGTGTTTTTCAGCTGCAGGGACAGGACGACTGGTTGCGATCGAGGGAAAGATGAATGTGGCCAAGTACAGGGATATCCTGGATGAAAACCTTCTCCAGA